CTCCTAATATTTGAAGTCTCTTTATGGCATCCACCTCCCATTCCTGATAATCACAATTTTCGCACCTCAATAAAACCCTCCCCCGACTTTCAGGTTTTTCCGATATCTGCCTAAGTGGTACCCTATTGCACTTGCAAGTCAAAAATTGGTCAAACGCGGGGTTGTTTTCCGAAGATTCCATCAAACTATTTTGAAAAATTATTCAGAAGCATTTCTTTATAACTAAAACGAGATCAGGTTTTTATCGCGATACCTTAAGTGGCTGCTTTGTTTCTTCTTTTGCTTGGCGACTGGAATAACGACTGGAATAAGTGGGGGTATCCATGAAAATAAAGATTACGTATATATATATTCATATCAGATATAGAAACGTACATACGACGACACGTTTTTTTTTGGGAAAAAATGGAAAAAGACTAAAATGTGACGTCTTATGTTTATACCCTAATTTCATAGGCTATGCGCGATCTCCTTTCCCTCTAAGATCACATGATCATTATTCGTTCTCAAAGACTAATTCCAAATGTATACTTACTGTATATACTGTGACAAAAAAGCATATTTATAATTTCCCTATTCACCTGACATCTAATGATCTAATATAATAATTATATTTATTTATTTATTAACCTCATCTTTGTAGTTATCGATATTTCAATCTTACTTGTAAAATAAAAAAAAAAGTTTCATTTTAATAAACTATTCTTAAACTATTTAATTTATACAGTATAAATTCGTTTTTTATTTTTATTTTTAATATTATGAAAGTTTTCTTATTAATATTTTTACATGTATTCTCAATATTCATGTTAAAATTTTCTTATGATGTTAAATACTATTGCATTAAAATATTATAATCTTATACAGTATATTAAAATACAGAATTTATTTTTAAAAATAAATTAAGAAATATTTTTTCACACTTTATCTTTTTCATAATTTTTAAGTCTACTATCATATTATTTTATACAAAGTATTTACATTATTTAAATAAAAATTTTTATTCTTAAAATACAGTATATAAAATATTATTTAGAAAAATTAATATTATTTTATAATTTATTAATAATAAAAATTATTATTTTATTATTTAAATCAATTTGTTATAATTTACTTTCAAGTTAATACAAAATAAATATATGATTTTTTAATTTTTTAACTTTTTTTAAAATTTTGAAAATAAATTTTATTAAATTATACAAGCTTTGTTTTTTAAATATAAATATTGAATTTTTAATTTAAATAATTTATTATGTATTTATATATGATATATATTTCAATATTAAATTATAAAAAAATTATAATTAACAATAATATTTAAAAATTTAATTGATTAAAACATTTATAATATTAAAAATCTAATTGAATTCTATGACCAGTTCTTAATTTCAAAATAATATTTTGATTTATATAATATAATTCATATTCAAAATTAAAAAAAGATTTTTATTACTACAAAGAAATGATATTAAAAAAAAAACATTATAATTAATTTCAATAGTAAAAATTTTTATAAATGTTCAGATTGTTTAATAAATATATTATTGAGTTTTTATTAAATAATATTTATAAGTATAATTATATTTTTACTATAAATATCTTTTAATTTATTCAATAATTCCAAATATCAATTCTTAAATTCAATTAATAAAATTTGTAATTTATTATAAAATAGTAAATATATTTTTCAAAAATTAATATTTTCTCTAATCTTTCTTCTTAAGCAACTCTTCAAAAATCAGTAAAGATGGGTCCCTAAATTATTTGTGAGGACATAATTCAAATGTCCCTTATTATTAAAAATTTTCATTTCTATA